ACACAAGTCCAAACCACCGACAAGACGGGCAGTCAATGGAGCCGTTGCTGGTTCAATGTGGTCACTGTGGCCGCAAGGCGAGCTCCCAGCACGTTTTGCGCCGCGTGATTCTTGACCATCGACCACCACTTTGGCCACCGCCGCGGAGAGAACACTCGACCAACGAGCTGAAGCTGGCGACGGATCGTGAAGCGCTTTGCCGAGGCTCGACAAACGCTGCAAAAAATGCAATCTTCTTTCGCGACTGCTACTTGGAGGGCCGCGAAAATGATTCCGATAGTGAAGGAAACCACCTTCGGTCGCTGAACCGTCCGACACAGCGCAGCGAGCGCTTTCAAGATGACTTGTTCCGCATTGACTCGGTCACTCGAGCGGTGTTAACACTGCCACCGTCTTTTGACGACGCTCGTTGGCCGTCCCCCGTACTGGCTTTTGCTGTCTCTGTGCTCGTGTACCTCCTCAACATGCATTGGTGGTCGCACGTTGGAAGCTGTTTCAAGAACAGTCGCTCTGCTGCATCAGGTACATGCCGGTACGGATTTCCGCGTCCGCGCGTCGAACGATCGACCTGCACGGCAGAAGGCGTCTGTATTGCTCGTCACCTCGGATATGAGTACGTGAATGGCTTCAACGCCGTCTTGATGTCCACATTCAAGTCAAACCATGACATACAAGTCATGATTGGCGGTGCTGCTGCTCTCCTGCGAATATACTAAGTGACAAAGTATGTCACGAAGCTGCAAGCGGTGATTGAGTCCGTGACGGCCGTTGCGTTAGCTTCCTTCCAAAGACGTCAAGCTCGAGAGCAGCTGGACCAATGCACGAACGCTGACCGAGCCAGTATCGGACGTCGACGAGTGGCGTCACTCGCATTTGCGGTTACTAACCGGCGTGAGATCGCTGGTCCGCTCGCGGTATTGTATCTCATGAGAGGCTCATGTTGCTATATGAGTTGTCACTGTGCACCATTGCCGTTGAAAGACATTTTGAAGGAGTTGATGAACGATGACGAGCACTCGTGTGATCTCGTCGAGCTGCATGACGGAGGTACTTCGGCCACAATGTATCGTGCAGCGTCGCTACTGGATGATTA